AATAGAAACCAATTTAGTGCACAAGCATTTAAATGGCAAAAATAAAAAAAAGAGGAATCAAGACCCATAACCCTTACAGGAAAAGGAAGGATTAAAAAGGAACATTATGAACAAACTGTATGCTAGCAAACAAGACACCCAAAATAAAAAGGACAAGTTCCTAGATACACAAACTGACTGAAAAAAAAAAATTAAAACTAACCTATCTCAATCTAGCTTTACAGCTTAGGAGGTTAAGCCACTACCTGAGACATGAGCATGCCTTATCATGGTGTCGGGGCTGCCGCCCTGCCAATCCAGTTCCTGGGAGGGCAGCTTTTGATTTGCCTATAAAAATATACTGCCTTTGTTCCAAATAATGAAAAACTGACTCTAATAAGATTCAAATGGAATTAAAACGGGCACAGAGGTGCTGGTGCTAAGGCTCAACAGGCTAATCCTCCACTTTCAAGTTTCAGCACTCCAGATGGTTGCTGGTTCATGTTTTGGCTGCTTCACTTCTGATCCAGCTCTCTACTTATGATCTGGGAAAGCAGCAGCGGATGGCTGAATTCTGCGGGACCCTGCACCCACATGGGAGACGCAGAAAAAGCTCCTGGCTCCCAACTTTGGATCAGTTCAACCCTGGGGATTACAGCCATTTATTGAATGAAACAGTGGGTGGAAGATCTTTCTCTCTCTCTCTCTCTCCTTCCATCTGTAAATCTGCTGTTCTATTAAAAATTAAAAAGAAAAAAAAAAGGCAGAGTGGGGCTCAGTGACTAAATCCTTGCCTTCCACATGCTGGGATCCCATATGGGCGCCAGTTCAGGTCCCAGCTGCTCCACTTCCCACTCAGCTCCCTGCTTGTAGTCTGGGAAAGTAGTAGAGGATAGCCCAATGTAGGAGACCCAAAAGAAGTTCCTGTATCCTGGCTTCAGATTGGCTCCGCTCTGACCGTGGTGGCCACTTGGGGAGTGAACCAACAGATGGAAGATCTCTGTCTGTCCTTTTCTCCGTAAGTCTGCCTTTCCAATAAAAATAAACAAATCTTAAAAAAAAAAGGGGGGGGGGATGTCACAGAATAGCCAAAACAATTGGAAAAAGAACATTTTCTGATTTCAAAAGCTAGCACAAAGACAAATTAAGACAATATGATGTAATCAGAAAGGACACAGGGCAATAGAACAGAATTAATGTTCAGAAATACAAATGTACATTTATAGTCAACAAGCATGCTAAATCCATTCAAACCAGGATCGTCTTTCAATAAATGTAGGATAGCTGGATATTCACATGTAAAAGAATTAACTGGGCCCCAATTTCATACCATATACAAAAACGAACTCCATAGATCAGATCAAGATCTGAATGTAAGCTAAAACTACAAAAATCTTCTATAAGACAACAGATGCCAATCCACACAGCCTTACTAGAAACAACACCAGAAGAGGGACAGATGTTTGGCACACCATTTAAGGTGCTGCTGTGGACACCCATTTAGCATACTGGAGTGATGGGGTTGAGGTCCAGTTGCTTCCCCAATTCCAGTTTCCTGTTCCTGAACACCATGGCAGGAAGCAGGCGAGACATCTCAAGTACCAGATCCCTGCCACCATGCAACCTGACCCGAGTTCCCAGCTCCTGGCTTCAGCTTAGCCTAGCCCAAACTCCAGCTTCCTGCTCCTGTATAATTTGGGAGGAAGTAGAGGAAGCGGTTGATAGCCACAATTCCACATTGGAGTTTCACTGTTTGATTCTCAATGCACATGGGAGACCTGGAATGGAGAGACTGGCTCCCAGCTTCGCAGCAGCATCATTCAGGAAGTAACTGGTACATGGAAGCTCACTCTCTCTCTGGCTGTCTAATTATTTCTATCCTATATCTTCCAATCAAACAAAGAGTAAATCTGGATCTACCTATTCATATTTATAGAAAACATAGAGAATTGGGGGCCCGGTGCAATACTGTAGTGGTTAAAGTTCTCGCCTTGAACGCAGCAGGATCCCATATGGGCACTGGTTCTAATCCTGGCAGCCCCACTTCCCATCCAGCTCCCTGCTTGTGGCCTGGGAATGCAGTCGAAGATGGCCCAAAGCTTTGGGACCCTGCACCCAAGTGAGAAACCTGGAAGAAGCTCCTGGCTCCTGGCTTCAGATTGGCTCAGCTCTAGCTTGGGGAGTGAATCACTGGACGGAAGATTTTCCTCTCTGTCTCTCCTCTTCTCTGTATATCTGCCTTTCCAGTAAAAATAAATAAATCTTAAAAAAAAAAGGAAAAGAGGGAATTGAAGAACATAACATCATCATCATTGTTATACAAAGGGCCTTAAAAAAATGTTCATGCAAGGGCCTGGCAAGACAGCCTAGTGACTAAATCCTCACCTTGCATGCTCCGCGATCCCATATGGGCACCGGTTTGGGTTCTGGATGCTCTATTTCCCATCCAGCTTCCTGCCTGTAGCCTTGCAGAGCAGTCAAGGACGGCCCAAAGCCTTGGGACCCTGCACCTGTGTGGGAGACCCAGAAGTAGCTCCTGGCTCCTAGCTTCAGATCAATTCATCTTTGGCCATTGTGGCCACTTGGGGAACAAATCAGTCGATGGAAGATCTTTCTCTCTGTCTTTCCTTCTCTGTAAATCTGCCTTTCCAATAAAAATAAATAAATCTTTTTTTAAAAATTCATGGAAAGTTTTTTTGAAAAAAAAAATTGCATAAGTTCAAAATTCTTGTAGCAGCAAAATGAATTTATCTTCATTCAATTTTTTCCATGAACGTTTTCAAGGATCCTTGTATAATGAAAATTTAGACTATGAGCAGTTCTACAGATGCTTTCTTCAATGCAATAGGGAAAAAAAGATACAGAATGAAAACAGATTAAACTAACTTGCAATACATAAACCATACTTAAACCTTGACTAAACAAACAAACAAACAAAAAACAAAAATGGGCCCAGCGCAGTAGCTAAACAACTGAAGTCCTTTCCTTGTCCATGCTGGGATCCCATATGGGCTCTGTTTCTAACCCTGCCAGCTCCACTTACCACCCAGCTCCCTGCTTGTAGCCTGGGAAAGCAGTGGAGGATGGCCCAAAGCCTTGGGACCTTGCACCAGCATGGGAAACCCAGAAGAAACTCCTGGCTCCTGGCTTTGGATCGGCTGAGCTCCAGCTGTTACAGCCACTTGGGGAGTGAATCAGTGGACAGAAGAGCTTCCTCTGTCTCTCCTCCTCTCTGTATATCTGACTTTGCAATAAAAATAAAATAAATCTTTAGGAAAAAAAATGACTTCCTTTAAAAAAAAAAAAAAAGAAAGAAGCTGGCATTGTGGCACAGTATATTAAGCTGCTTCCTGGAATGCTAGCATCTCATACTGCTGATCTGAATCCAGGCTGTTGCTCCGCTTCCGACTCAGCTACCTAATGATGTGCATGGGAAGTTAGTGAAAGGCGACCTAACAACCTTAGCTCCTGCCACCCATGTGGGAGACCAGGTTGGAGTTCTTGGCTCCTGGTTTTGGCCTGGCCCACACCTGACTGTTGCAGTTGCTTAAGGAGTAAACTAGCAGAGAAAAAACTGATCTGTCATTCCCCTCACCCCTCTGATGCTCTGCCTTTCAAATTATATACATACAAACACAGTTAAACAAAATAAGAAAAAAAAACCTATTTAAAAATCAGAAAATTTGCAAACTAATGAACATGTGAAGAAATGATCAATAATTTTAGGTGTGATGATGATATTGTGGTAATGATTAAGTTTATATCCTTAAGAGATTGGATTTATTTAGAAATGAAATAAACTATCTGGCATGTACTTCAAACTAATCTGAGAGGTAGGGGTAGGGACTGTGAGAATTGGTAGAACTACAAAAGATTGATGGCCAATTTTAATAATTGTTGAAAATGATTCATATGTTCTTCTAAAACCACAAACATATTTATCTCAGTAATTTATAAAATGTTCCTTAAGAAAATATCTATTGTTCAAGTTCAATACACTGCTTCCAGAATAAAGAATGCTTTTGTTTAAAAAAAAAAAGTCACAAGCACATCCATGACCAATAGTGCCAATCAAAACGACCAGTTGTCATTAAGCTATTTTCTAAAAATTTCCATCAGAAATATCATAGTCTGCTACACATTAGCTTATACATGCTATTCAGCAAGGAAACCATGTAACGATAATGAGAAGCGAACGAGCAAATAATTATACTCAAACTATCTTCTTGTCCTTGAAATAATTCTTAATTATTAGGCCTATTGGCTAAAGTCCTCGCCTTGCATGTGCCAGGGTGCTGGTTCTAATCCTGGCTGCTCCACTTCCCATCCAGCTCCCTGCTTGTGGCCTGGGAAAGCAGTCGAGGATGGCCCAGAGCCTTGGGACCCTACACCAATGTGGGAGACCTGGAAGAAGCTCCAGGCTACTGGATTCAGTTGGGTTCAGCTCCAACCATTGTGACCACTTGGGACTGAACTACTGGATAGAAGATCTTTCTCTCAGTATATCTGCCTTTCCAATAAAAATAAAATAAATCTTTTTTTATAAAAATCTGAACTATTTACTTTTTTGTCTAACATTTTGAAAACAAACAAAAGCCTCTAGGTTGTGATTACACAATTTGGAAGCAAAAGCCAAACTTAATAGCTTATTAATGCTGTTACTAAGTATTAGAACTTACAAAAATCAATTTCAAGACATAAGTAAAAAATATCTTTCTGCAAATAAATGAGTTCTTTACCATAAAGAACTCCCCCCAAAAATGTGAGAACCACAAAGTTTATGAAAGGGAAAAGGTAGCTGATTAGGAAAAAGGTAGTTAAAAGAAGATTAAATTGTAATGTCCCTCAGTTTCAGGTACTGGAATTCAAGAATGACACACTGCTAGTTAAAACATAACAGTATTCTTTTGTGAATCACTTTATTTCAAAACTGAAAAACTCCAGCTCGCCTTCTGCCTCTGAATGAATGCAGCATCTCAGAATGGGTACCACAGCGCAGGAAGAACCACAGTGAGCCCTACCTGGAAAAGATCCAGAAGAGGCTTCCAGGACAACATGGAGACTGCAGCTCTGTTGACGCTTTTGGGAATTTCGGAATAAAAGAGGGTGTTTTCTCGGTTCTCACCAGACATGGCTGCAAGAGCAAAAAAATTATCATAATTATTTTTTGGTAGCATTCTTCATACAATCACAGTTACTAGTCAGTACAGAATGCCTTCCATAAAGCACATTTGTACTCTACAGGATTCATAATTAATGTTACTAAATAAGACGTGCATGTGACATATATGATTGAAATTTTTTTTCAATAAAACAAGGAAAATACTCAGGTTTCATTTGGAGATTCAGGTTCTAATCTCTCAGGATAAACACAACAAGGATGCAAAATGATGTGAGAAGAGTGAAGACAAGTGTCATTTTCAGAATTTTGTGAAAATTGATAGTTCTTTAGAAGCCAGCTCTAGACTCAATGAGATTCTGGTGCAATAATTTCACCTTGCTGTTTCTTGTTTCTCTGGGTATTTTAAAACACTTATTTATTTATTTTGACTTTTTACTTTTTTTAATTGGAAAGGCAGATTTTACAGAGAGAAGGAGAGACAGAGAGAAAGATCTTCCATCTGCTGGCTTACTCCCCAAGTGGCTGCAATGACTGGAGATGAGCATATCCCAAGCCAGGAGCTAGGAATTTCTTCCAGGTCTCCCATGTGGGTGCAGGGTCCCAGGACTCTGGGCCGTCCTCGACTGCTTTCCCAGATCAAAAGCAGACAGCTGGATGGGGAATGGAGTAGTTGGGATATGATCCATATGGCGCATACAAGGTGAGGATTCAGCCACTAGCCTATTGTGCCAGGTCCTAAAACACTTACTTAGAAGCACACATAGGTCTAAATTAATTCTAAATTTTCTTCATTATAAAAATTGTTTCACTGTCATTATTAACAAGGGATTTGACATCCAGGTATAAAAGCAAATTCACATTAAAACACAAAAATTAAAAATTGGTGCTGTGGAGCAGCGAGTTAAGACTGTGCCTACAGCTCCGGCATCTCCTAGGAGCGCCAGTGTGAGGTCTAACTGGTCTACTTCCAATCCAGCTCCAGCTTGCTGCTAATGTGTCCATGAAAGCAGCAGAAGATGGCCCAAGTACTTAGGCCCCTGTTAACCTTGTGTGAGAATGAGATGAAGCTCCTTTCTTCCCCAAGCTGTTGTGGCCATTTGGGGTGAATGAACCAACAAAGGAAGATCTCTTCCTATGTCACAGAAATGATGCCTGATTTGCTACACATTTCTTGGCCCTTTACTGGGAAAGGGCAAAGGAACCGGAAGTTTGAACTCAGCTGAAGCCAGGTCTACTTTGTGGACTCCTGCAACAGCTGAATGGAAAGATCAAGGCAGTGCAGAATGAGCCACTACCAAAGAGCTAATAGAAACGCACTGCGGTTACGTCGTCGTGAACCAAAGGAAACATGAATCAAGCTAAAACCAAAACCTTGTCATACTAAAGAGTGTTAGAAAGCTATCATTTCAGAAGAGGTGGGGAGAGTGAAGGAAGAACAAAAACCACACAGGAAGAACAAGCACGTTCCTTCAGGTGGAACAATTCTCAGCCTCTGATGACAGCAGCAAAAGGCAGTCTGTTTGAGGCATGGTAAAATTCAAGCTAACCCTTGCAAAAGCAGACATTCACCCTCAAATATCTGCACCTTATTCATTTCCTTTGCTTCCTAAACTTCCTTAGTTTGTGCTGTGTTTTAAAGTAAAATGTTAGGCACCAACTGACATCTTAATTTTTGTCTTAAGTCTATTTGGTATGCTACAGAGTTGCTTTCTTACAGATTTCTTAAGCTTGTGGTTACCTAACCATATCATTTAAAACTTTACAAAATGTGATCATTGGGCCTGGTGTGATGGCTCAGTTGGCTAAATTCTCACCTTGCATGTGCCAGCATCCCATATGGGCACTGGTTCTAATCCCGGCAGCCTCACTTCCCATTCAGCTCTCTGCTTGTGGCCTGGGAAAGCAGTGGAAGATGGCCCAAAGCCTTGGGACCCTGCACCTGCGTGGGAGACCCAGATGAAGCTCCAGGCTCCTGGTTATATCAGCTCAGCTCTGGCAATTGTGGACTTTACAAATAAAATTAATTAATTAATTTTAAAAAACAAACAAACCTTGCTGCTGAACAATGCTTCCTGTAGGCATGGGTCATTTAGGATAAACAAACATTCTCAATCATATGTAATGTCCTATAAAACAATCTTCAGGGGCAATATTTGCTGTAGTGGCTAGGAGGCTACTTGGGATGCCAGTTTCAAACTGTTAAGAACTCCAGTCCTCTCCAAAGAGAAATTTACACATAATCATCACAGAAAAAGAATATAAATGGCTGTTAAATATGTAAAAAGACATTGAAAGTCACACACAAAAATTTAAACCACAACACAACTGTTATTCACTAATTAGAATGGGAGATATCAAAAGTGTATTTCTTTCTCTTTTTTTTAAAGATTTATTTTTATTGGAAAGTCAGATATATAGAGAGGAGGAGAGACAGAGAGGAAGATCCTTTATCTGCTGATTAACTCCCCCAGTGGCCACAACGGCTCAGCCGATCCGAACCCAGGAGCTTCTTTCAGGTCTCATGCACAGGTGCAGGGTCCCAAGGCTCTGGTCCACCCTCCACTGCTCTCCCAGACCACAGGCAGGGAGCTGGATGGGAAGCAGAGCAGCCGGGACACAAACTGGCACCCATATGGGATCCTAACGCAAATAAGGTGAGGACTGTAGCTGCTAGGCTACCCCTCTGGGCCCAGAAAGCATAATTCTTCATCACTACCAGTGTAGCTATGGAAAAATTCTAAAGGAATGTTGATGGTATTATGACTCCTGCAACCTTTTTGAAAAGGAATTCAGTCGTATCAGTAAACATTCAGAATATCTACTCTGAGGAATTCCACTCCAAGGAATGAATTCTACAAGGAAGCTCACATCAGCAATATTCACTGCTTCATCTTTGACATTAGAAAAATCTCAGGTCACGTATGACAGCCTGGTCGCTAAATCCTTACCCTGTACCACCAAGATCCCATATGGGTCCTGGTTCACAGCCCAGCCGCTCCTCTTCCCATCCAGCTCCCTGACTATAGCCTGGGAAAGTAGCAGAGAATAGCCCAAAGTCTTGGGACCTTGCACCCATGTGGGAGATCCAGAAGAAGCTCCTGGCTCCTGGCTTCAGATCAGTTTAGCTTTGGCTGTTGCAGTCATTTGGAGAGTAAACCAGTAGATGATCTTTCTCTCTGTATCTCTTTCTCTCTGGAAATCTACCTTTCTAATGAGAATAAATAAATCTTTAAAAAAAATAATAATGAAAGAATCAGCTCGTGGATTCACATATTTAGTTTAGAGACTTTCAGTCTAGAATGAATAATCTCAGAAAGAAGGAGTAAACCAGCTCTGGTTTAAACAGATGGGAGCTGGTCAGCACTGTGGCACCATGGCTTAAAACACTATCTGGAACGCTGGCATCCTGTACCAGAGTACAAGTTCAAGTCCCAGCTACTCGGCTTCTGATCTAACTCAGTAATGTGCGTTTGATGCAGTGGAAGAGGACCCAAGCATTTCAGCCTGTGCCACCCATGTGGGAGACCGGGATGGAGTTCCTGGCTAATGTTTCAGCTTTCTCCAGACCCGACTGACTCGACCATTTGGGGGAGTAAACCAATGGATCAAAGATCTCTTCTGTTCCTCCCTCCCTCTATCACTCTGCCTTTCAAATAGATCAATGCTTAAAAAAAAAAAAAAAGGAGCAGCTGTTAAGGAAAAAAATGAAGGTTTCCATTATTCTTGCAATCTGATTCATTCCATTATTTGTGTAATCTAATTATAAGACATTTCAAATGGGCTTTAGGGTAAAGTATTTCTGGCATCTTTCATAGTGACTGAAAAAAGACGATGATCAATTCATGATTTGCCACTTGTAAGTCAAAATAAATAGTCCAAACCAAAACTAAAACAGTACCAAACGGAATTCCTTCAAATTAGTGTTTCCTTCGGTGTAATGAGCAAAAAGTCCCTGACTCATGAAATTTATATTCTTTAAGAACTGAATGCAAGTTATTTCTAGGCTTCAATTCTTTTCGTACTCACCAAGGTAATAGATTCTGTCTGAGTGAGGCCCATCGGGGTCATTCCTCTTCACAAACATAAAATCGTGTGGTGCCTTTGCCATCATGTAGCCATGATATTTTCTAGTGTCAGCAAGGAGCTTTTTAAGCTGACTCCAGGAATACCGCTCAACATAAAATGGCTCCAATTTAGGCCGATCCTGTGACTCAATATTCTCTTCACACTCTGCAGTTTCAAATATCTCAACACCCAGCTGTTCTGTTTCCATTGCTGCTGCCATGTTGCATTTTCCTAGAAAAACAAGGCACATCAAATTGTTCACAGACCTTTCTTTGCATATTATCAGAATGACAGCCTGAGAGGGCCCTTCCCCAAGACAGCAAGAAAAAAAGCATTTTAGCAGATGCAATGAAACCCAGTAAGAAAAGCAGTAGCTCCCCCTTCCCTGTGCTATTTCAAAACGAGATTAAAAAAAAAAATGGGGTCATGTCTATTTTACAGTGACTATAAATCCCTTTGGAACTTTTATAAAAGGCTCTCCCTGGGTATCCTTGCCAAAATTCCTCCTTTCTTTCCCACACTGGAAGGAAACGGGCCATATGCCAGTTGGCTGCTATGCTCCACCCAAAAGCATGTCAATAGTGAAACTCAATGTGCCAAGAGAGTGAAGTGCTCACATTCAAAACAGTAACACCTGTGTTAACTGTGCATTGCTGCCACTTGCAGAAATCATCATGATCAATTAGAATAGCAATTAAATTGTTGCAAGCAATATGCCTGTAGTAACTTTCCTAGGGACCCATCCAAGAGAATACATTGTTTCCTTCAAATGTAACTCCAAAATACCAAAGCTAACTGCCTGGCAGACTTGATTGTTTCTGAGTCTCTTGCTCCTGTCTAGATATCACTATCACATTTGTGTTATGTATATTTTGAAGAATCTCACATAGCTGATTATACAACATTGATTATACAATTACACTAACAGTAAACAAAATATTATTTTCAAAGTTTTTAATTAGATGGATGGATGTAAAAAATTCACTCATCACACTGTGCTAACAGTATCTTTATAAAAGACTATTTTCAATTTACCAGTTCAACTCCAAAAGGGTGCTTAATATAGTAAGAACTCTAGCCTCATAAATCCAGAAGATGAACTTTTATCCTTTTTTAATACTTAATGGTACATGCAAAGTAACAACAACAACAAAAGTGTGAACGATATTACTGGAATATTGATGTGTAGTGTTTATGATGCTATCAAAAAGAAAAAATCATGGGGCATCTGCACTTTTTTAACTAACGAATGTCAAAAACTTGTGGAATGAAAACAAATTATATTCGACTAAATCTCACAGAATTAATTGTACTTCAAATTAACGAACCCATTACATTTAAAATGTAACAAGTTTTAAGCTAAAGCCTTAACTTCCTAGATGAACAAGAACTCGTAACTAAGTTATTAGCAGGTGACTAGTTCACCAAGAGTACATCAACAGCATGCAAGTGAGCAGATCTTCTCTTTTCACCCAGTGGATTACACTACCATGTTCCATCTTACAATAGCCAAGAGTGGCCAGGAAACCCAGTTGACAGTTACAACAGGTAAGCTCTAACAGCGTTACTTCCAATAGGCATTCACTGGCAGTGCCTAAAACCCTGAACAATGTGGTAGAAAATTAAGCCACCTAGTTGGCACATTCTGATTCTGAACCGGAACAAGGTCAAGTCCACAGAAAATGGAACAAGATGATTATGTTGGTGCCAAAAACCTGCTGAAATTTCTGTATATTTGTGACAGGGTGCTTCGTCTGTTTAAAAGCTAGGTGAAGGCCTACTTTCTACCAAACATGTCAATGGGCTTAGTTTTATATCTAACAGAGGAACGAGTAAGAATCTTTACAGATTTGCCTCACTTTTCTCAACATGCTTTGTGTTAAGTTTGGAACTTCACCTCCACACCATTTTTTCCCAGTAAGGATCAGGGAAACTAGGCAGAATCACCTCCAAGCCCCAGCTCCTTCAGGCATCCTTCACTTCATATCTTCTCTACCATGTAAAAGTTCTGCTGACTTACCTTGAGGGAAAAACAATCAGGACCTGAATTCAACTAGGGCCACAACTGCTTTCTACACATGCAAATACAGACCTGGGCATGCGCCCACACACTGCACACTTCATGGGACACTTCTGCTGCCTTGGAGGTTGACAGCAAATTATGTCCTGTATCTTGTAGGACAGATCTGATCTTACATTAGGGATTTTCATGAATGTTTACCCACATTTTACAAGTTCTAAACACCTTACACTCAAAACCTGGGCCTTGAATTGTTGGAGATAGCCAAAGTGTATGCTCTCAGCACAGGGCCTGTTGTTCACACTGACCACTTCACTGACGGACCCTTCCTGGGTGCCCACCTGCCCGGATTTTCACCCGTTTAGATCTCTTCCACATTCAAAAAAACCTTTTCCAAGGGATGCAACTTCAAGCACAGACCTCTCCATTTCCCCTGCTCTTTCCTTACCAGGATTTTGTGCCTTGTCTCAACATCCAATCCTGCTCATCAGGATAATGAAACAAGATATTGGTCATTACTAAAACGGACCACAAATGGTCACAGATGAAAAGTCCTGAAATAATACTTAAAATCAACCCAGAAATACTGTGTGTGTTTTAATATAACATGGCAAGGCTTAAATTACTGGGTCTTACATTTTACATGATCAAAATCCCACAAATAACTCTTTTTTAGCGTTATAGCCCAACTGACCCAAAAAAGAGTATCCTAACAGCATTAATCTTGATGTCCATAGATTAACAAATAAAAATATGAGGGCTTTAAAATATGGCAAAAGGTATAGTATGGAGATGTGAAGTCCCTCCCTGGCTACTGCAAATCCTCAGACATGCCAGAGGATTTACACATTGTACTTCTCTGTGCCCTATTCCTTTTCTAAATGATAATATCACATCGAATTGTCTGGAGACAGAATTAACATAGAAGGTTAATCAAGAATTACAGAACAGGTTATTTTACTACCTTGAATTTAGTAGCTTAAGCTTACAAAAAAAAAAAAAGTTCTATTCATTTAAAGGCACATCCCCTTTTGGCTCCTTTTCCTTGACAGGTTACTCAGAACGTCTCTGGGAAAAGCAGCATTGCATTTGCGGAAATACTGGCTTCGCAAAAGGAAAAAATAATAATAGGACGTCTGTTTCTTTGTCATCAGTTTTAATTCTGGGATCCCGTGGCCCCAAGCAGGTGATGGGAGACGCGGTGGGGATGGTGGGAGCTCAGCCTCCAGGTAGGAGCCTGGGACATCAGACGTCTTCCCCCCTTAGCACTAAGCCCCCTGGTCGAGCTAAGGAGACAGCTTGCTGAGCCTGGACTCTGGTCACTCTCTTCCCAACAACTGGGGTGGTGCGCTGAGAAACCCCCAAGCTCCCCATCCCCCAGGGGCCCTTGGCTGCTTCTCTGCAGGGACCCAGAAGAGAGGGCAAAAACCTTGCAGGAGAAGGCACACCCAGGAGCAGTGGTGGGCTGGGCCGGAGAGGACACTTGTCCTGCCGGCAGTGCAAACTAGTGGGCAGGCAGGCAGGAGAGCGTGCCAGCTGCCCAGTGGGATCCCATCCGCCCGCGACTCCCTGCGCCCCTCCAGGGCTCCAGACCCAGCCCTGCTAACCCGGCCTCCCGACCCCAAACGAGGCTGATGGAGATAACGGACTCGGGGGGCGCCTTGAGGACGTTGGCCCACTTGGAACCTCCGCTCTTCCGGCCAGCCGGGGGCCCTCCGCCGGCCCTGGGCCCTCCGCCGGCCCTGCGCCCCCCGCGGCCCCGCGGCCCGGCGCTCGGTCCCGGGGTCGGCGAGGTCCCCCAAGTGGGACTGCCGCGGCCCAGGCCGCCCCGGGAGCCAAGGGGAACCAGACACGGGCACGGATACTGCACCTTCCCCCGCCCGGCCCCGCCCGGATCGTCCCGACGCGCGCACGCGAGCGCTACGGAGCGGGCCTGTGCCGCTTCATGCCGCGCCGCCTCCACTCGGTCCCCGGCTGCTGCGGCTTCCTCGGCGCCCGTAACCCGGAGCGGCGAGCGCGGCACTTAAAGGCTGCGGCCTCCGCGGCTCGGCCACTTCCGCTTCCTCGCGACCCGCCCTCCGACTGGCAAAGGCGCAGCCGGGCCAAGAAAAGCGCCTGTTCCCTGCTGGGCGGGTCGGGGGCCCGTCATCACAGTGCCCCCTGGCGGCTGGAGGAACGAAGGCGGCGCGGGAAGAGCTGTGTGTGGCAGGTCATCCGTCCATCCATCCATCCATCCATCCATCCATCCATCCATCCATCCATCCATCCCACGATAAACGCGTGCATTTTGTGCTTCTGCTCAGGACAGCGAGTGCCCTGCTCAGCGTCAACATTCGTGTCCATGGTGGCAGGCAGGCTTTCTGGATGCTGGGCAAATGACAGCAGGGAACAAACCAAACAGAAATTCCCAACCCTTCACTGGAGAAGGTCCTGGGACCTTGGCAACTCTGAGCGTCCCACGGCCATGCTGGTGGCAGGAAAGAAACAATCTGGAGCCAGAAACCTGGCCGCGAGATGAATTAGTGAAGTTCGGCAGGCCACTGATCTCTCTGAGCCATGCTTAAAGGGACACAACTTTTCACTTAGTTGCCAGGCCTCAGTGAAAATTAATCAGGGCCCAGTGGACAGAGGGGAAGGAGTTTGATACAGTCAGAACCAGAGACAGGTCAAGTGACAAATGATTTCTGTCTTAGTCCACATAACACATGGGCTGACAGAGCAAATTGGGAAACCTGAAGAAATGACCAGGAAGCTAGCCAGCAGCTGGGACAAAACAGTGGAATACAGGACCTCCGCTATACTCTGTCATTAAAAAAGAGGTATGTGTCATGATCATTTATTTTAATGGCATTAATAAAATACCACATTTCACTACATAGCATGCAATTACACACTCTGAGGTTTGAGGTGTGCCTTGCCTCTGGCTTTTTAAACATTTATTTATTTATTATTGGAAAGGCAGATTTACAGAGAGAAGGACAGAAAGATCTTAAGTCCACTGGTTCACTCCTCAAGTGGCTGCAATGGCCAGAGCTGAGCCGATCCCAAGCCAGGAGCCAGGAGCTTCCCCCAGGTCTCCCACACGGGTGCAGGGTCCCAAGGCTTTAGGCTGGCCTCTACTGTTTTCCCAGGCTACAGGCAGGGAGCTGGAAGGGACATAAAGCTGCTGGCACATGAACCAGTGCCCATATGGATTCCAGAGCATGCAAAGTGAGGATTTAGTCACTGGGTTATCAAGCCAGGCCTTCCCTCCAGCTTTTTAAAATTGAGTTACCTTAAAAGCAAATAAACAACACCAAAGTAATCATTTTTTCTCTGGATATCCTCTAGGAATTATCTGCAAGTGACCCAGGAGCAGATTTTAAGGCTTCAAGTGCAGACACACACACACACTGACAAAGGACAAGGAAATACCTTTTACTTGCTGTCATTCTTCCAGGGCCCCACATGACGGCTCAATGACTAGTCTTCTTTCTCACTTTCTGCACCTGTGACTTTCAAATAACTAAATGCACCTTTAAAAAGAAAGGAATGTATGTACAGGAATAAATTATTCTTCCCACGACTCCATTCTCTTTACACAACATCAACACACTTTTATAATAAAGATTCATTTATTTTTATTAGAAAAGCAGATATACAGAGAGGAGGAGAGACAGAGAAAAAGATCTTCCATACGATGGTTCATTCCTAAAGTGGCAGCAACGGCTGGAGCTGAACCAATCCAAAGTCAGGAGCCAAGAGCTTTTTCCGGGTCTCCCATGTGGGTGCGGGATCCCAAGGCTTTGGGCCATCTTCGATTGCTTTCCCAGGCCACAAGCAGGGAGCTGGATGGGAAGTGGAACAGCCAGGATTATAACTGGCGCCCATATAGGAATCCAGCACGTTCATGGCAAGACTTTAACCATGAGGCTATTGTGCCGAGCCCAACATCAACACGTTTAACCAACTGCCCATACCTGGCAACCATGCCAGGGACCCAGGGATTAGCCGATCAGTGAAACCTTAGCATAGCACATAGGCCCCTTGCATACAACCAAGCAGGTTCTGAGCGAGAGGAGGTGCTTGGGTCCATGGTCGCAATCTCTCTGTTGAGCCTGACTTTTTGATAAATATCAACTGCCATGCAAATCTCCTGGCACAGTTAGGAGGTTCTAGGTGTAGTGCTGACTGCACGAGTCTCACCCAACCCCACCTCAGCTTAATGGCCCAAACTGAAAAACCTGATTTTGGTCACAGTCCGTACTGGATAAGGCATGAAACAGCTGAATTCCATAGTTCACTTTATTTTCTAAAACAAATAAATAAATAATTTTAAAATGTATTTATTTGAAAGATACACACACACACACAGAGAAATCCCATCTTCTGGTTCACTCTCCAAATGTGCCTGAAAGGATTGGGCTTGGATGGAAGCTGGGAACCAGGAATGCAATCCAGGTCCTCTCCATGATCGGCAGGGGTCTAATTCCTTGAAGTCATTGCTGTTGCCTCTGAGGGTCTGCATGGACAAGAAGCTGGAGCTGGGAGCCAATGCTATGCACACCAATGTGGGCTGTGGGCACCGTGACTGCCTTCCTACCTTTTTTTGCCTTAAAAATTATTTATTCATTTAAGAGGCAGAGAGAGAGAGAGAGACTCAGGCACTTGAGCCATCACTTGCTGCTTCCCAGGGTGTGCGTGCCCAAGAGATGGATTCAGACTGGGAACAGGCAGAGTGGAGTTGTGGCCCAGCAACCTACCCCTCTGCCTGCGACACTGGCATTCTATATCACAATGCCTGTCCAATCCCATCTGCTTCCATTTCCATCCAGCTTCCTGCTAATATGCCTGGAAAGATGGCCCAAGTGCTAGGCCACCAGTATGGGAGAGCAGCATAGAGTTCTAGTTTCCTGGTTTCAGCCTGACCCAGCCCTGGTGGTTGTGGCCATTTGGTGAGTAAACCAGCAGATTAAAGATCTCTCTCATTCTTTCTACATTCTTTCAAATAAATAAACAAGTCTTTTAAAAATTTTAAGCACTAAAAAAAAAAAAAAAAAAAAAAAAAAACCAGAAAGGAGGAGGGACTCAAACCCACAGGGAAAATTCTGAAGCAGCTGATAAGAATGTTGGAAGGAGCTGAGTTGAATGGATATAGACCAACAAGAATTCACCT